TTTTCTTTAAATCATTTTTTGAATGATTTTTTTTAATCAATCGTTTCTTAACCAAGCATTTTTTCACTGGTTTTTGGACCGTTTTTCACTCGTTTCTGACTCGTGTCCGACTTGTTTTTTAATCGCTTTTTTAATCGCTTTTTTAACCGTTTTTTTAACCGTTTTTCAATTGTTTTCTTCCAACTGCAGGATGAGCCCTATTGCGAGGGTGTATGGGTGCGACTGCAGCCCTACGGCAGTGAAGTTAGCACACAGGCAAGCCGTTGCAGCACTGGGAGCAGAGGAAGTATCAAGGAGACTTCATCTGTTCGTTTGCGATCCAACGAGGGACCACTTAAATGACCGACTCGATTTCGAGACGAGGACGTCCACAACTCCGACGACTCGGACCCATTCCGAATCTTCTGAGGGGCGAAAGTTCACTGTCACTACCGCCGCTGCCGCTGCCGCTGCCGTGGGGACCACCACCACCACCACCACCACCACCATCGCTGCCACCGCCAACCCCACCAGCCCATCGCAGATTCCCAGCAGCCGTCGCGATGACGTTGACGACGGGGCGAGGGGTGCAGAATCGGTGGCAATCAAACCGGCCAAACACGATCATGACAGCTGCCAGTGCTCACAAATGGAAGGAGAGAGGGCTGAAGAAGACCTTACGACGTGTAACACCATTTCTGGTGACGACAACGTAAAATGCGAGGGAGATAAAGATCCTTGTGCTCATGACGGTGATCAGCATTGTACTCCGGCCAGCAACATTTCTGGTGACGACAACTTAAAATGCGAGGGAGGCGGATGTGTTTGTGAAGTGCTGCGGTGCAAAGGCGAATCTGGCGATGCGTCGTCGACTACTACAGCCTCTGGCGGGGTTAATAGACTATTGGTTGACGTAACTCAACTTACTCAAGGAGAAGGGGGAGGAGGAAGAGGAGGGGCGGGAGAAAGAGGAGGAGGAGGAGGAGGAGGGGCTGAAGGAGAAGATTTGAAGATAGATCCGACAGTGAAAGATTCCAGCAGCATTGAATTTCCACTCGTCCCTGCGTCTAATACTGGGCATGTGCAGATTGCCCTTTTGGTGGGTAACCCCCTCCCTTCTCCCCCCCCCCCTTCCCTCCCCCCCCCCCCCCCCTCCTCTCTATCTGTACCCTCTCACACTTCGCATCCACCTCCCCTTCCTCCTTTTCCATAAGGGACAAATGTAAAGGTAGCAGAAGTAGGACGACAACTCGGCCGAGGTCCCACTTTGCGAAAGCGTGACAGCCAGAAATGGGCAATTCAATGCCGTCCTTCGGGAATGTACATCCGTTAAAATTGGAACGATACAGAGAGAGAGAGAAGATTAGCATGGCCCCAGGGCCTGCGCAAGGATGACACATGCAGAAATCGAGAAATGTCAAAGAAAGAAAAAGAAAAAAAACTGGGGAATTAGGGTACTAACTGGAACCTTGCGCAGCTGAGAGAGTGTTACGGTAACCCTGATTAGGGGCGTCACAAAACTACCGTCTTCCCCCGAACACAACGCACCCTTATTTTGGCTGTATCTGGCCGGAAATTTATCTTGTATACATTCATTTTTAGGGTGCGTTATGTTTGGGGAAAGACGGTAGTAGCGGGGGCGAGAGCGGAAGACGGTAGCACCGGGGGCGAGAGCTCCGACCATGGTTCCAGCCTGGGTCCAGCGTGGGCCCAGCATGGGTCGAGCAGGGTTTCCCAGCAGGGTTCTAGCATGAGTGTACCCAAACCAAACCAACCCCAAACGCCAATCTACTTACCTGCAGGGTACAATCACCTGCCATGGTTCCCAGCATGGTTAGGGGCCAATTCATGTGGTAGTTGAGGTTTGCGGACAGGTACATTGGCCCAGGGGCATTGTACTAAGTTTTACTAGCCATGGCTGGAACCATGCATGGGTAGTAGTACTTAGTACACTGGCCCAGGGGCATTGTACTAACTTAAAGTACTACTACCCATGCTGAAACTATGTATCGTTAGTGGTACCTAGTCCAATGACCCGGCGTACCTGATTTAATTTAGGGACCATCTAATTGGGCCCATGTAACTGGGACCCTGTACTAGTTGGGGTGGGTTGAAGTTGGCATCAAAAAAA